ACCAAGGGATGCAGTTTTACAACTGCAAGCTATGACTGCGGTTACAGGGGAAGACTGTGGGAACATTTATCCAATTTATATATGTCAGAAGCAACAGTAAGAACCTTTTACTGAATGCAGAGATTATTTTAGCACATGTAACATACGTTCATTCATAAAAGTCTTCAAAATTGAAAGGGTATTACTCTGGATCAAGCAGAGCTGTTCTAGGAGTTAACTCATTTCCTCTGCAATGTTGTGGCTGTATTTTACTGTGAAAACTCTGGTTCTTCCCCCTCCTTTTATATATTATTCAATTAATTTCATCCCTCAGACATGTTAAATAGATCAGTCTATCAGTCTTTTTTAATCACAATATTTTATCTCACCATTTTAATACACTATTACATATGTTAGGTACCAAATTTTGGTTGGATTTTTTTATTTTTACATGTGTTAGGCATGTCAGAGGTGTATTAAAAAGAAAAGGAGTTACTTAGTACACTTAGATGTACTTCAGGGACAAAAGGGCATAAGAAGCAAAGGAAGCATGACATTGCTTGTATCTTCGCTGTTGGCACTGCCTGGTGTAATGCATGTTGCATTTGTCCTCCCTTTAATCTCTTGCTCTCGCTGTGTTATTCCATCACTTTTCTTCTGCTCTTTATTATAATAAGGCTCTCCACATGTCAACTGGAATCTGAATTGTAAAATACACAGCCCTGGTTTGATCCATGATGGCTCTTCAACCTGGAAAGTGGTACGCATGGGATTTGAAAAATAATTCTACTAAAACATAAAGCCACCAATGACAATGATGACTGATTTATTTTAGGACGAAGATGTTTTCTGACTAAGCTGCTAAGCTGTTTAATGAAGCAAACAACCTGGAACTAAAGGGGTGGGAAAGAATGCTAAGCAATCTGGCAGTGGTGGAAGAGGCTAAAAGAGGACACAAAACTGATGGGAGCCTGCCACCACCAAACTTTGCCATATAACACTCGAGCCCTGAGTCTTCAAGTTTTACCTGAAGATGTGCAGGCATGCATGTATCTTCTACTGTATGAAACTGAGAGGGAATTGTGACCCTCACTGACTTAATCTCGAAGGCCTGAAATTTCCCTAATGGAGACAGCTGGTTTGAAACTGGTTATTTCCATTTAGTGGGTGCTTTACGTCACTCCAATGCAGCAAACAGGACACCCAGTGGCACTGCTCAGTATGTCACAGCAAGACCGAAGCGCTCTGATCTGGGTTGCTCCTGCTTTTCAGGCAACACCTGAGCCCAGGACTGAGAGCTGCTACAGGGGAGGGATCTCAGTCCTGAGACACAGGATGTGTTGGGAGCCTCCAAAATGATCTTCTAATTTCTGTTGGGGCTTGAGCTTCCCCTTCTCCTCCTCTCTTCTCCTTGCCTTTTACCTTCCACTGCCATTAACTCCACTTTTGCCCTTTGACCACTATAAATCAAAGGAGTGTCACTGACACGGGGAATGGGGTGGGAGCAGTAGACAGCAATGACCTAAGCTTTACTTTGCACGTTTATACTTTTTACCTGCAGTCACATTGCAGTAGCTCTCATTTACTGGCTTTCCAGTCTCCAGCAGCAAGAAAATGTGCCCCAGACACATCTCTTATTAATATAAACAGAGTGAGACAAAATTTGCCATACCCCACTTAATATTCAACTGTTCTCTATTTAGTGATAACTTTAAATACCAGCTGAATCAGATGTGTTTTGTAAAACACCCCTTCCATGGAAAAACTCATGGTGTCAGCTAAGGCTTAGTGTGTGCAAGATTTGCTTCTCTTACCTTATGCATTGATGCCAGAGAGAGACTGATGCCAACTGACAGGCTAAGCGACAGGTGTTGCTGTGCCTGATTTTATTCAGTTTTATTGCTCCAAGCCTGTGCTGGGCCAGGGGCAAAGCTGGTTTGCTTGGGGTTCTTGTAATATGCTACCTTTCACTCTGCTTTCCAGAAAAAAAAAATGCAATGGCTCTCTCTTCTTTGAACATTTTAAGAGTGTATCCATAAATATGAGCTAGCTCCAAGATACATAAATATTTCAAACAACATAAATATATTTTAACCTTAAGTGTATTTAATATGTGACCTACGTATGTTTGAAACTATCACATAACAGTGCAGCTGCTATGTTAATGTATCTTATCAAAGGGGAGACAAGGTTGAAAACTATTGTTGATCACAATGTTTTCTGACTCTGGGAAGACTCTTCTCCGACTTTAAATGTCATTGTCATCACCCAGGATTCACAAGAAGTATCTCACATATAAAGAATGGTGACTGAAAAGGGTTGCCGTGAGTTTTCATGAGAAATTTCTTGTGACATGCACTTTGTGGAAAATCAACTTTCACATTTTCTTTTGTCAGTGACAGGGTGAGAAAACTGGTTGAAAATGAAAGATGTTCTATCAAAAGTGTCCAGGTTTATCTTTCAGGCATGCCTCCAAAACCTAGGGAATTTTATGTGGAAGGAAAATATATCATTTATTTATTTGTTTGTTTGTTTGTTTGTTTAAATACATTATTTCCATACAAAAGAATCAATATTTTTCAATTGTTTTTGCATATCAACTCTAAACACAAAGCTATTGTCCAATGACAAAACTATGTATCTGCTCTTACTAGTGGCTTTTGCATGTGGCAAGGAATAAACAGCTTTGATAAAGAAACTAATTTGAGTTGCTTAACAAAACCACTCTTGTTGATATTCATGTGTATTCAGTCTTCTCATTATTTTAAATTAATGCAAACAAAACATGGCAGAGTTTTCTTGTTTCTTAAATAGATACAAGGTACAAGAAATTGGAACAAGCATGAATTAAAATGCACGGAGGCATGTGAATATATATTGTTACATTATACAGTGTCATAGAACTCCAAGGAAAAGCTTGAAGGAAAAAATTAGGACAAATTTGTCAATATGGGGATGGGAATGAAATTTCAATCTCATCACTAAATTCATCTATTGGCTTATTGCTAAGATTCATTGTCAGAAGGAATTAGCCTTCCATGAAGCACTTAAATACGTAACAATATCACATACACTCTTACATATCTGTGTATGAACTGCTTAACAGGGGAAGGGCTATCTGTTATTCAACTGTGCTTATACTTCTATCACTATCTCTCAGGTTTTGAGATTAATTTTTAGGTAACCTGTTATGTGCACCAGGTCTACTTCCATATCCATAGAAGGAGAAAGAATTTCATTCTAAGGAATCTCAAATGTCACAGCTTCAGTCCTGATTCAGGCAAGCATCCCGTCTGGGATCCTCGCAGCAATGAAACAGAAGGATGCATTAAGGGGTTTCATGTAGGTTGCGTGTAGGAGTTCAGACCTACATGCCTAGGAACATTTAAGGTGTACTTAAGGGGAACTAAGTAGAAAACCAGCAGTAGAACCTTTTGGCAAGAGAATCACTCTGTGCTCATTAACACTCAAAAATGAGCATATAGCACCCTGCAATGTATTTGAGAAGCTGGCCCATGTCTTGCATGGTCACTTGAGCAATAACCCAATGTTATTAAAACCCAGTGGTTTTAAACTAAAAGAGGGTTGATTCAAACTTGATATAAGGAAGAAGTTTTTTATGATGAGGTTTGCAAAACACTGGCACAGATTGTCCAGGAGGTGGTAGATGCCCCATCTCTGGAAACATTCAAGGCTGGGTTGGACAGGCCTTTGTGCACCTGGTCTAGGGGAAGGTGTCACCGCTCATTGCAGGGGGTTTGAACTGGGTAACCTTGAAAGTCCCTTTATACCCAAACCATTCTATGATTCTATGATTATATGAACCCTAGCATGGTCCTAATAGCACACAGAAATCAGGGAAATATCCCCACAAGAGGCAGGCATGTGCCAAGGGGAGTGCAGCTCTGCTGAAAACCCAGCTGCTCGGGTCACGCTTCAATACTTTGTACACTTGCATGCCTGAATGAGCATGATGTGGATGTCACTCATGCAGCTCAGCTCTGGTGATGACACAGCCCTGAGTGCAGCCATCATAGCAGAGTTCTGTCTGGGTAGTCCCACTCTTAGCAGGGAGTATAGGCACAAAAGCTGTTGCTTTCCCATCCAAAAGCAAAGCAGCTCCATGCACCAGAGGATCCCAGGGTTGCAGAGGGGAATGCGCACCCAACATTTTGACCTATACTTTCCTGACACTAATGATGCCTGGTAAGATTTTTCTCCCACCACACAGCTATAAGCAAATTGTCCCTCGTGGCAAAATGGTGTACCCCGAAACTTTGTAACAAGGACAGGGAAGCCCATAGTTCATTTTCCCCTTTGTAGACTTGTTTGCCACCATTTAGTGATTGTAGAGACCAAGTGTGAGTCAATCACCACAAAAGCATTCTGATATTATAATCCCACAGAAGTAATTCAAATGACCCACAACTATACATGAGAAACTTTGCAGATATAAACTGGCTTTTGATTTCTATATAAGTAGAAAAGTGATCTCTAAGTCAGTTATCAGTGACCCCAGAGGAGGTGCATCTCACAGGAGATCACGAGTCCAAGCTGGATGCCCAGGCTGCCCCAGGTGGTCACCTGTGACTTACATGTCTAATTTTTAGGTGTTTAAATTACACCCAGCTGCTTTGACCTGCCTGTTGGGAATCGCCAGCCCCAGACGCGAATTCTGCCCCTTTGGAAACATGCCCCGTATTTTCTTAAGTGCATTCCACACTCTGGAAGCCGCAGCGACTTCCTTCCCTAAAAAATCGCGACGGCAGGCGTACCTCTCAGCACAGTAAGCCTTACAGGCTGCTAAGGGAGAGGCGGAAGGCGCCGCCGGACCCCACCCAAGCACAGCCCCGCGATGTGCCTGTCGGAGGGAGGCTCCGGTGTGCCCGGTGCCGGCGCAGGGCGGCTCGGGGCCGCCCGCACGGCGCCGCCATTGGCTGTCCCCGGCCGGCGGGGCCGGCGCAGCCGCGGGCGGGTGCGCGGTGGGGCGGCGGGGCGGGAGCGAGCGGCAGCGCGCACACGCGGCGCCCCGACGGCAGCGGCGGGTGCGCGCGGGAGCTGGGCCCTCGGCGGGACGCTCCCGGTGTGTTCGAGCGTTTACCTTTTCCCCTTCTTTTAGTAGAGTTTTTCTACGGTGTTTTTCTTCTTTTTTCCCCCGTTCCCCGCCAGGACTGGGAGCAGGACCCGCGCCCCTGGAACTGCTATGCCAACTGAACTCCGCAGGGCCGTGAGAATGCACGCCATCTCCGACCTGCACTCCTCCCTCACCCTGCGGCTCCTTAACAAGGGGCCCGAGTACCTCCGCAGGCAGATGGAGGCCGGCAACCCCGGCAGGAGAAGTGCCGTGGAGAGGCTAGCAGCCGATAAGGCCAAGTACGTAAAAAGCCAGCGGGTAATCAGCACCACGCAGGAGCCCGTCATCGTGTTCAGCTCAGCCTCGGAGAGCAGCAGCGAGACCTGCTCGGTGGAGAGCAAGAAACCCAGCAGGGACTTTGGGAGAGGGAAGGGCGCGAAGCCGCTGGAGCTGGCGAAGGCGGTGTATTCCTGCCGGGCCCCCCTGCAGCACGGCCCCCCCATAGCCAGGCGCAGCACCCCCAGGAGGCAGATGCGGCCGGACTCCCTGGTGATTTACCGCCAGAAATGCGAGTTCGGGAGAGGTCAAAGCCAGGACAGCTCACGGGGGAGCTTGGTGAGGAGGATCTTCCAAGGGTCTGTAAAGGAGAAGCAGCTGGCTTCCTCTGAGATGCCCAGAGTCATGGAGGACACCGCAGCCACCGAGAGCAAAGAGCCTCTCTCAGAGAAAGACAGTGACCGTGAGCTGAGCAGCCATGGAGCGGAGCAAGCCATCACTATGAGCACTGAAGCACGAGGAGTATGTACAAAAGAGCATGAGGGACCCTCAAAACTTAGTATACCTCCTGAGGAGGCCAAGGAGGTGAAGAGGAGAGGTCTCCATCGCTCCCAGTCGGACATCAGCTCTCGCTACTCCAAGTCTTTCTCCGAGTTTGATACATTTTTTAAGTACTGTGGCCTGGATCAGGAGGTCATCGAGGATCTCGGGAGAGAGAACTTCTCCGTGGTGTCCGACAACATCTCCTTCAAGATCCGCAGCATCAGTGTGGCAACGTCCGAGAGCGACTTCACGAGGCACAGCGGGGACGAGGGGCTACTGGAGGATGAACTCACAGAGCAGGTCCCGAGCAGCACCTCTGTGATTGAGCGCAATGCTCGGATAATCAAATGGCTGTACACGTGTAAGAAAGCCAAGGAGGCTAACAAAATGATCCAGGAACTGGCATGATGGCTTCTTTCAGCGTGCATTGCAGCCTCAAGGTGTGTGCAAAGCCTCACCCTGTTGATTTATGTATTTCTCTTTCCTCTTTAGCAAGAGGTTGGCTTTTCTTAGTTTATTTTAGTCTTTTCATGAAGACTAAAGGGAACTATTTTGTACGCAAAGTGTTCCCATACAGGCTTTTTGCAAAGCAGAAATCTGTATTGTTACAAAATACAAACAAATACATGAGAGTCAGAGTCAGTGTTTATGAGGCATGTCTGGCTTTTGCAGATTCCTGCTTTGTAAATAGCTTGTTTTCTCCAATTTCTGCTATATTAAATGGTAGAATAAAAAGTTAGAAAAATGTTCAACCCTTAATTGCAGTTGCTTAGTAACAGACAGAACTGAAACTATTACTAATTAGGCGTACACTGTATTCATACTGCACTGCTACAGTTTTCCTCGCCTTACTGTCCCTCACTCTTTCCCTTCCCCCTTACACATAGGCACCCCCAAGTATCAGGAAGGAAGAGCAGAGTCGGTGCTCCTGCTAGCAATCCTATTTCCTCTTCACCTTTCTGTTGGGACCATAAAAGTTTGTTCCAGGTGAAATACTCCCTTGCATTCACAGGCTTTTATTTTCTGTCCTGTTTGACTGTAGTGTTTTTGGCTCCTCTGCAGTGGGTTTTGCTGTGTGGTTTGGCACTGGTAGCTGGAAATCCGTTGTGAGGTTTGCCTTGGTTAGAGGGGTACTTCACTGCTTTAAACTAGAGATAATTAATACAAATATGTGGTATCTAGACTTGGAAATCAATTACTTCACAGACAGAAGCAGAACAAATGTAGCCCTGATGAAAGTCGATATCCTGGTTATAAATAAAAGCGGTGTTTATTCTCCATCTGATTTCCTAAGAAAGAACTGTATTCATGGAGCTTTTGGTATTGATGATCTAGTAGATAACAGGTTTTTTCTCCTTCCAATATGTGAAGCCCTTAGGATAGGTACCACAACTTACAGTGTGGCATTTAAAAATTGGGTGAGTAGGTATTGATACGAAGGATTACATGCATATTTTCTGACAGTTTGTAATTGGTGCGTAAGAAGAACATTATTTAGCGTAGATACAGCTGTTGATACAGCTTGTGGGCCTTATGAAGATAGAGAAATAAGTAGTGCTTGAGCCTCTTTCCTGTGTGGATGTGGGACTGTCACTTCTGATTCCTTTAATCTATATACAGCAAAACTCCATGTACTTACTTTGAATTGGTTTTAATTATGTGAAAATTGGATCACATTTTAAAATTGATTTTTTCTCAAATGCCTGTTTTCTTCCTGCAAGTTGAGGGAGGAGGAAGGGGGGGCAGGGAGAGCCATTTTCACAAACATTTCAAGCCCTTGTAGATAAGAAGGGTTGTCAGGTATCCAGCTGACAGCTTAAAGAAGTGCTGTTATGTAACAGATCCTTTCCCAAATTACCTTAGAGGAAAGACAGGGCTCTCCTGAAGTTAGTAATTTCTCCTTTCTCATCCTTCTTTGATAAAAGTCCAGGGAGATGCACAAAACAAAACGATGCAGGTGGCAGTTTGTGAAGCTTGTTGCTCACTGCAGTTGCTGGCCTTGCTGAACGCACAGGATGGGAGGCAGATTTCACCACAAGCAGAAACCATGCAACAAAGCCAACCATATTTCCTTGAAGGAAACCAAAATAAAAGCCTGTTTGCTCCTAAATGTCCTTGCTGGGGGTAGGATCCAGGGCCAGAACCACGGTTATCACTGCAGACCCTGCTCAGGAGGGAGCAGTTGGCCCTTTCCCCATCCATTTGCACAGTGCTAAGCATTGCCAGTGCTGCAGCTAAGACAGGAGATGCTGGTGACCACCCCAGGAAGCATGCAGTCTGCAGAGGAGGTGGTTCACCAGGGCATTTGCTGGGCAGAATTTGAGAGTTGTTATCACCATGTGGTTGCAGGATAAGTCCTGTATTCTGATCAAAATGTTCATCTTTTCTTTCAGCCCTAGTTTCTCTGACAATGCAGCACCTAGTTAAACATCCGTGTGTTTTCACTTTATCCACATATTTGGCTCTGCTTAGTTTGCTTACTGTTTACTAATGGGCAGCAGACTTCTGTGCTGCATGAGGGAGCGATGTGCCTTGCTTTCCCAGGTACAGCCTTGAAAGTTCCTCATTTTACACAGAGGCTTGAAAATTGTTGTACCATCTGTGGAAAAAAGGCAGAAACCTGTTTTTTAAAATGCAGCCTTCATTATGTGTAAAACATCTTTCAAGAACTGTAGGGCTCTTTCAGGCCAGTGATCATTCCATTCATATTTTATGTTCTCCGTTTAATTTTTCATAAGCTCTCTGGGACCTGGTGGGGCACCATGTAAATCAAGCAGCTATTTGAAGGATCAGGTTCCCTAACACGTTTCATCAGAGTGATGATTGCAGAGTCTGAGCATGGGTGGAGAGCTTCAGAAAACCGAGGTCCTCAGTGAGATGGGCTTCTGCTTCTCAGTGGGATGTTGCCTGGATTAAAACTCTGCAGTCCAGCACCTCTGTCAGTCCCTCAAACTCTTAAGAAGGGGGCTCACTCTGTGTCCTTCTCGGGTTGAATCAAGATTATTCAGCCTTGAGTTTCAGTGCCATTCTTATATGGATGTTCATTATTCAAGCGGAAATCTCCTGGCAGGGGAATTTACTATGTTGGCAATTGCCATAAGCAGCTGAATAAAAGCTTTAGAGTATCACTTTATGCTTGTCTGATGTGATAAATAATAAATGACACTATTTTTTCTCTTTCTTCAGAATCCTTGACTTGAAAGTCGAACAAAACCAGACACAGGAAGAAACTCTTTCCTCATCTAGATCATGAATGCTTTGTCCAAGTTTAGTATTTTATTACTGCCTCCTACCTTTGCCCACCTTCCTCTTACCACAAACACGGGAGCTTCTAGGAGCACAGTGACAAGCGGAGATTGTGAACTGTGCTCCAGCAAGGCAGCAAGAAACGAAAGCTCCTGTAAAACCAAAGCGTGGCAGCAGCTGCCATCCATGGTTAACATTCAGAATCAGCTTACTGCCCCAGGCCCCAGGATGCTCTTCCAGGATGTGACAGAAGGTCTGTGTTGTGCATCCATCTCTTTCCAGCAACGAATTTGTCAACAGCGATGGGAGGAGAAAGTGGGTATGAAGTGGCAATGACCTCTAGGTCAGGCGTTTTCTCGCGGACAGACAGGCTCCACCTGGATGTTCAAAGGCTCTGTCTTGCCAGGGCTGTTTGACCAGGGCTCATCCTGACATCATTAGATGTTATTTGTTTGGCTGGTGAGGACTAACTGTGGCAGCTTTATCTGGGATACTTGGCAAACATGTTGTAAGCTAAATCCCTGCCAAGCCTCTCTTTCTCTGGGAGCATTCAAGCCAAACTGGAGTACCCTGTATTCATTTAGTTTGTCTCACAGCTTGCTCAAGCCAGGGCAAACCCTGCCCCAAATATTTTCAGGAGCATGTTTCCAAGAAACAGGTAGTTAAAAATAAGGGAGTGTTTTGCATTGTTACTGCCTTTGCCTTGCTGCAAAACAGCACAATTCACGTGTACATAGGCTCTTCCACTTTGTTTGCAATACGTCTCCAACTCTGACATTGCAAACATTGCATGGTTTGGCAGGTTGTAGTTTAGCACATTTCATTTTATGCACCATGAGTGAGCAGTGTGCTTAGGAAAATGTATCCCAGGCTATGCATGGCCACACTTCTCTAGCATGGGTCTGGAGTACGGGCTGTGCTTGGGATGTGTGGGACAGCATCCCTGCGGTGCAAGGCAAGAAGTCATGTCAGGGCACAGCAGTGGCAGCTAAATGTCCTGGTAGAGTGGAATGCCCAATATAAACAACACCTTGCTCACTATCATCAATAAAATGCTTCATTTGGACTGGCTAAGCTAAGTGTGTTTTAAAAGCTGATAAAAAGTACTTTAGATCACCAGTGTAGTGAATGAGGCCTCTACAATAACTCATGGAATTTGCTGGCTGTGCCTCAAACATTTACCTCAGTCTGTCATTGCTTGCTAAAAAATGTCTTGCACCAAAGCATTTATTTGTGGACACTGCAAACCACACAAAAATGCAACACCCCCACACCCCCTGCCAAAAAAAATCCCAACAGTCAAAGCCAAATCCTTTCAGTTGCACCAATGCCCCTCTATGATAGCTGCACAGCTGGCATAGCAGTGACTTGACCTGAGGGTGCTGCAGAAAAGTTTACTTTGTGTTACCATGGATGTGGGGTCCTAGTGTCTGTCTTAACCTGACTGTCAGATCGGCAGTGCAAGGAGTTCAGAAACACCAACTTTCATTCTCTGCATTCCTCCTGCTTGCAGCATGGCAGCTCCTACTGCTGCCTCTCCTGGCCCAAAACAGCTGCTAGCACAGCTGGGTGGATGCTGACCTCAACTGAGCACTCAAGCTGTGTTTCTGAAGTGTTTGCCACTCTCAGTAAATACATCTGGAGAAGCAGAAAGAGCAAGGGTGAGCATTAAAGATTCAACAAAACATTGGTGGTAGGAGGAACCTATGCCAGTGTTGTGCACTGGAAGAGTTTGACCTTCAGGTGCTCATCACACAGTGTAGTTGACATCAGTTGCATTCACAGCAAGATCATCTAGGTTCCATTTTAGTATCTGTTAAATGTACTTGGCAGTTCTCAGTTACAGACATGGTCTGGGAATGCAGAGCATTTGTCTTCGTTTTCTGTGTTGTGTACTAAGGTCTACATGTCTGCAGTTGTTGGGATGGATGGATAGCAATTCCAGATAAAATAATTGTTGAACCTGCTTTCCACTTGGGAGAAAATTAAATAGTTTGCTTGAGTGAGCTTCTGGAAACTTAAAGGGAAGGTAGTACATAGGGATTTGTTCATTAAATAATGAATTTTCTATGTCTATTTGTTACATTATTATTAAAGGATGATTCTTAGAAAACTCCAACCCAAGATGCTGCTAATGTGGTAAGATCTGTGCACCTAAGGTGCAGTTTTTTAAGGGATGAGGTCTAGGTTTATTAGTCAAGAATACAACTTGGCGTATCTGTTCTTTTCATGATCATTTTGCAATGTGCTGTACTATGTTAATGTTCATATGCATTTGTCAGAGCTAAGGACTGCTTTTCTTTGAAAATATGAATGACTGTAGACAGATCAGAGTGCAAGAAAAATGTTTTGTGTTACAAATCACTGCCCTGCCACTGAAGAGTGTTATTTTCTTTTGTTTTCAAGAAAAAGTTTTTCAGTTTCAAACTTCTGTTTGTTTTTGCTCTTATAGTTGAGCAGCTCCCAAAAGTTAAGATGAAAGATGTGTGGGTCATGAGTTTTCAATGTTAGAAAGAAATACGTTTAATTTGCTTGAAAGTACGGAGCATCAGCCTTTCTCAAAATTGATGGCGGTTTTATGGCAGAGGTCAGAAAAATCAGAACTGACCCCATAATGAATATTTTTTAACCCCTCTTTTTGTCTTTATGATTTTCCACACTGATGCATGGCAAAATTTCCCAGCTTTGTTCAAACTCCAGTGGGTACGCCAGTTTATCCCAGATATCATTTACTTCAGAGACCATGTGGTCCCATCTAAGATCTTCCCCTGACAAGCTGTAGATTCCCTTTGTTCAATAATAACCTCTGGGTAAGCCAGTAACCTACCTTTCCCAGTATGCCAGAACCAGCATAGACAGCATCAACCATAGATGACAATCCTTCTTTCTCTGTACATCTTGGGAATGGGTACTTCAGTGCTTTTTCCAAAGACTAGGAGCTCTGGGTTTCACTTGGCTCCTGTTGCTGTTACATGTGAAGTCTTTTCCTTCCAGTCTTTTGGGAAACCTAAAACTGGGGCTGAGGGGAAAGGCAAGTCATAAATTGAATTATTTTGTTTGATTAACATTATGTAAACTAAAACAGTCAAATGGAGTGCAAGCATGCAGTGCTAAGTGCTGTTTCTACCCAAGTGTTTCAGGGTGCTCCAGTGCTGTGAAGAGGGCAATGTCCGTGGCTGTACTGTAACAGGCAAAAGGTGCAAAGTATGGGTTTTATGGCCTGGAAACAAGTATTTGCAATAAAGGCATCAGAGAGACTGTAATCTTTGCAATATATTGTAAATATTACTGTACAGAAATCTATAAGCAAGAAATACAGATTGTTCTATAATACATATATTACTTTTCTAAGAGATCTGAGTCCTTGTATTTAGTAAAATGGGCCAAACATTACACTGATGGGGATTAAGCAGAAACTTTCTCCTGGGAGCAGGCTGTCCTGTAATTGCCTCCTGTGAAGTTTCTTACATCTGCTTTTGAATCCTTGGAAATAGAGTACTGGTCGGATCTGGTATGGATGTTTCTACGTTGCTATGTTTATATTCCTGTGAAAGAACCTGTGTGCTCCTGAATGCATACAAATAAAGTTTTCACTCTGAAAGTTCATGGATTTTTTTAAAGTATATTTTTATTTTGCTGTCTCTATTAGGGTACTATTATTTTAAAGTTAGAATCTCATTAGGAAATTAACTGTGTGTGCAGCTGATACTAGACTGCGAACATCTGGGCCATAGCCAGACCCATGACTGAGAGCTTAAGCAGGTAATCTTGTAAGGAGGTGGGATGATAACTGTTAGCTCGTGGTATCAGTAAATGTGAAATATGAAGCTAGGGCTGTTCCACAGTATTCTAATATTTTTCATCTCAGAATATGGCTGAAAAAATGGACAGTTTATTTCTGAAGGGTAGTGGGTTTTTTCCAGACTTCAGTATTATATTTGGTTTTACTCACTGTCAAAAGCTATAGTGTGCTGCAGGCAATACCCCATTCATCACAGCCAGTGTCCGAAGCAGCAGGGAGTTTGAAGATCTCCTTGGAAAAAACATTATCTCCAGAATCTTATTAAAAAGCTGATGTTTGGCTGGATTCTATTCCAGGAAGAATTCAATATATGATGCTAAATCCCTGTGAGAACTTTGTGAAGAAAGCAGCAGAAATAATGATTGTATAGGTTGCCCAGGGAGGTTGTGAATGCTCCATCCCTGGCAGTGTTCAAGGCCAGGTTGGATGAGGCCTTGGGTAATATGGTTTAGAGCGAGGTGTCCCTGCCCATGGCAGGGGGGTTGGAACTTGATGATCTTAAGGTCCTTTCCAACCCTAACTATTCTATGATATGGTGAGCTTTTACCACAGGCCAATGCACTCCAGTTGCATAACTATCATTTTGGTATGGTCTAACCTGCTCAGTCACTAGTGTTTCACTGGCCGGCATTTGAACACAACTGGAGGTAGAGCTAACCGGTGCTTGCTGTGCAGATTAGGCTCTTCCACAAAAAAATAAGAGCAACTTTATCATCACTGATGTGTAGCCTTCCCCACACAGCCCCTGATTGACTGGTATTAGTGCGAGATACAAAGCAAGTCTGGAAAAGGGTGACAATTTGTGGGTTGCCTCAGCAATTAATGAGATTAAAACTATCTCACAGTTTTGATTGGGTTTCACAGCTCACTTCAGTAATCAAGAGCACCAATTTTATGTTCTTTTTCATAGGCTGTAACAAGAACCAGAGGGTAGCAATCGTCAGCAGTTATCCATAAAGCCATGTGATTATTCATCAGGTGGTGATCAACTTGAGATAATGTATAACCAACCAGAGCCAAGATTTAGATGCACGCACAAAGAGGCAGGCATAGCTGAGCACTCTAAGGGGAATGCTGCTCTTACTCTTTCCTGTCAACCCAACCTCTTCTTACATCACTGTTTTTCTCACTGAGTAGGAAGTCTTAACCACTTCCACATTTATTCACCAGTTTGAATTGCTCATCTTACGCCCTCTCCAATAGTCCCTTTCTGTGTTTACATTTCCAGTGAACTCATTCATGTGCCAATCGTGTTACACAAGGCACTATTCCATCTATCCTCATCCTACAGTCTTTTTTTCTGAATGTTTCCATCCTTCTCAATCTTCTACCTTGCTCAATCTCTCACTACCCCAAGGAAACTAAAAACCAACTAAAACCAGTCAAAAAATGAATGATTTGCAT